GCCTATATAATAATAATTATTTTAAACTTAGTTTTTTAAACTTTATTAAGCTTTTTTAAATTTTTTAAACCATAATGAATTATTTTTATATTTTATAATATTAAAGATTTTTATTAAAATAATATAAAATAATTTAATTAAAGCTTTAAAAACTTTATATTAATATTTAATTAAATTTTTTATAGTCCTTTTTTTTTTAATATATAACTACTTATATTTAAAAAAAATATAATTTACTATAATAAAAATTAATAAAAAAAATATTTATTTAATAAAAATACTTATATATAATTATAAAAACTTTACTTTTATTATAAAAATAACTATAATATATATACTTTTTATATTTAGAAATATTATTTATTATTTTATATTAATTATTTATATTATATTTTTTATAAAAAAAATAAACTATAATAAAAAAACTTAATTATTTAATAATATTTACTAAAGTAAAATGTTTTTAAATTTTCTATAATATAAATTTAAAAATATAATTTAATATAATATTAATATAAAAATATAAAATAAATAAAAAAAAAAGATTATAAATTAAAAAAATTAAACTAATAAATATTTTATATAATTAACTTTAAAAATAAAGTTAATAAAAAGAAATATTATATTATAATTTAACCTTTTATAAAGCTAAGAAAATATATATTTTAAAGTAAATCTTAAATTAACTAATTAATTAAAAGAAAATCATTTATATATAATACCTTTAATAAATTACTACTATAATATATTATAATTTAAAAATATTATAATATATATATAATTAAAAAAAATAACTAAATATATAAATTTTATTTATTATTTTTATTAAAATAATTTAAATAGTTAATTATTAATAAAATATTAAAATTAAATATAAATTATATTTTTTATTTTACTTTTATATATTTATAATTATAACTACTTAAAAATTACTTTTTATTTTTTTTACTAATATAAACTTATAACTTAAGCTTATTACCTTAAGAACCCCTACCCTATACTAAAAATAAAGATTAAAACATTATAAAAATTATATTAAATTATATTTTTAATTTATATTATAAAAAACTTATAAAAATTCTATTTTAATTTATATTATTAAAAAATTAAATATTTTAATTATAATTATTTTCTTATATAAAATATATTATAAATAATTAATATTTAAAAATGAAAATTTAAAAATATAAAATATATATATTAAAAATATCTTTATAAAATAATTAATAAAAATATATAATTTGTTTAAAATAAATATATTACTTTAAGTATATATAACTTTTAAACATTTTTATTAAATAATATATATATATATATATATATATATATATATATTAATTTATATAAGATTTTAATATTTTTACTTTAAGTATACCGTCATTTCTCACCCTGAATCCTATCACAATAGCTTTCAAATGTCGTAGTGAGAATTCTAAGCCCACTTTCCCAACAACGCCATAACACTAGCTCCTGAGAGTGTGTAAAATACCATCTGGCTCAATCGCTTCCCGTCTTTTGTTCTGTCGCACTCAAAAAGGAAGTCTCGCGCAAGCAAGTCGACCAGTCCAGTATAGATGAGAATTCCGGTTGAGAGGGAGTCAAGAACTCCCGACACAATATTGGCGGTAAACGAGTTGGGTTCGTATGTAGTTCGTAATCCAAGGCCGATGGCAATAGATAGCGGCGTTGTTAATCCGTATGCAAGACATAGCATCCATGGGAGCCAACTGGCATTTGTCGGAAATGGGATGGTTGCCATCCGCGCCCCAATTCCGAGACCCTCAAAAGACTGATGAAAGACAAGAACAGGATAAAGAGTAGAGAATTCACTGCCAACAACACCAAGATTAAGTCCAATGATAACGGAATGAAATATAATGCCAAATTCAAGGATCAGAAAGGCACCAATCTGCTGGCGAAAAGCGATCCCCTGGAGAGCTTCCCTGCTATGCCCCTCTACTGTACTAATTGCCTTGTTATCGCCACTATCCCTATTAGTTTGATTCGACGGAGCCTCCAGATTACCGCAGCAGTTATCTGGATGAGGGTTGGGTTGATTTGTGACCATCATTTGAATATCTCGCTCAGTCTGGGGGCCATGCTTCGATTCAATATAATATTTGGCTCCCAACTCGGTGAGGAAGGTCATGATTGCCCCAAGTAGAACGAGCGCTGGGCACCACGAGTAATCGGCCCAATGACCTGTCATCCCGACACAAGAAGTGCCACCAATCTCTTGGTAGGCAGGGTCTAAAAGATGTATAAAGGCTGTTGCAATAATGACTCCTGTCCCGATATAGCGGGCAGCAATATAGAGCCCAGCAGGAATACGCCAGGAAGGCTTGCGACTCGCTAGAACAGGGAAGAGAGTAACAGAGGTAGATACGACAAAGATAACAAAGATTGACGATATACGACCGCCGAGTTTGCCGTTGTACTCGTTTCCGCCAAGTTGTAGCGCGCATATGACTTTCGCTTGGTCGAGATTAGGGTCTGTAAGGTCCACGGAGGTGGGATCGAAGCCTGAGGGACTAGCCATGGCGAATACAAGAGCGAGCTGAGTAACTCGGTGGTTATATCAAACCCCCCCCTCTCCAAAAAAAAAATAGAAAAGAAAAGAAAAGAAAAAAGAAAGAAAGAAGAAGAAGAAGAAGAAGAAGAAGAAGAAAGAAGAAGCAAGAAGAAGAAAGAAAGAAAGAAAGAGAAGAAAAGAAAAAGAAATTCCGAGCACTTGGTACGTAGAGAAACGTTATCAATCTTAATAATCCCAAGGTATGAAGTAGCTTAAAAGCGAGAACTGCATCCTGCAGCTAACTGATGTTGTAAACGAAGGTAATAAATAACTATTGAGGTGCGAGTGAAAATTTTGCAATCGAAACTAGGACCTTGATGGCCTCAAAATAAACAGGATACAATTTCGCCCATCAAGGTAATATTAGAGACGCCTAAAATGGATAGTCTGGTCCACAGACAAGCGGCATTATTTTAACATTTTAACACGGCAAATCTCTCGCCTTGAATGATGGCAAAGATTCCAATTGAATTCGAGATCATTTTAGCCCTTTTAGCTCTACACAGTGATGAAAAAATTATTGGTATTTAAGCTAGTATATCTAGGATATACCATATACGTGTAATAAAAATCTGCTACGAACGCCATAGCTAACTTAATGTGATCATCAGTCTAAGGAAGTCAGAAGAAGAGGCTAATATCCAATGTGGTATTGGACTTATCCGCTGGATTGCACGATGTTGAAATGGCCAATCACGCAGCCACCCCGCGTTTATATGATTGCGGCTGGATAGGACCTTGATGGTTGGAGACTCCACATAAAGATCTCGGAGTCGACCAATATCTCCACGTAACTATAATACCATGCGTTGAGGTTCGCAAAGATCTTGAAGAGATTTCAATAAACTGAAGCTAAGAGGAAAGACTCAGAAGGCATAATCAGTCTCCAGAATTGTCTTCCAGCCATCGCCATGGCACCCTTTACACCACTGACTGCCTCATGTGCGCGTACAATCGCTGCCTATAGTGTTCACAGCCTTGAGTGCCTTGAGAGTGAGATCACCAAGGTTGAGCATCGCCTGGATTTGATCAACTATTGGAAAATTGAGCCTGGAAGCAGAGTCCTAGAGATCGGCTGCGGGGCCGGTACCTGTACTTCTGTATTGGCGGTAGCCGTGGGCCCTGACGGGCATGTTGATGGCGTGGATCCCGGATCCCCAGACTACGGTGCCCCAATTACACTGGCTCAAGGGCAAACTTACATCTCCAACAGTGTTGTTGGTGATCGAATTACTTGGCGCAATGCTGAGCCAACGGAATTCTTGAAGAAAAACAAAGACCTGAATTGGGACTACGTTGTTATGGCAGAATGCATCTGGTACTACTCTTATCCCAACGACTTAGTTAAAATGCTACAAGCTCTGAGAGAACGAGTTACTTCATTCCTTGTGGCTGAGTGGGCACTCAAGGCCACTGAACCTTTGGCAGTGCCGCACCTACTGGCTGCAATTACTCGCGCGTCACTTGAGGCTCACAATCCGAACAGCTACCACAACATCCGGTGCATGCTCACTCCAACAAACATAAAAGATATTGCCACCGCTACCGGGTGGAGCTTCAAAGAAGAGACTACCATTGTGCCCAATGAAAGGCATTTGGATGGCTATATGGAAGTCCAGATGATTAAGATGAAGGAATTCGATGAAGATGTAGATAGTCTTATTAAGGAGGACAGACTTAATATTATGCTAAAGGCATCGAAAGAAGCAATGGCGTACGCGCTTGAGGCATCTGGTGTAGTCAGAGCCCGCAGCATGGATGCCTGGCTTGCTCGATTTAACTAGACAGCAGTAACAGCGGGCTACATTAAGGAGTAAAGAAAGCCTAGTAAAAGCATAACGTAATAAACAATTAACTAACTAATTGCAAACACTATATTTTACTATTATAAATTAGCAGTTTTTCATAGATGTTAAATATATTTTTTAACTATTTTTCTTAAGTATTAAATATTAAAATAAACACTAATTATATTTTTATAAAAGTTATAATTTATTTATAATTATTATAAAAATATAAAAAGAAATTTATATAAATTATACTATATTAAAAAATAAATTTTTAATTATAATAAAATATAAATTAAAACAAAATTATTTATTTATATTTTAAAATTATAAATTATAAATTTTAATAATATATAATATTATAAATATTTTATAATATAATATTATAAATATTTTTAAATATAATATTATTTTAAGATTATTATAATTAAATAAATATAAATTTATATATAATAAAATATAAATGAAATTTATTAATATAATAATAAAAAAAACTTTAATATAAAAAAAATTAAAAAAAATTAAAAGTTTTAATTTTTTAAATTTAAAAATATATTATTTTAATATTAAAATAAATAAATTAAAAATATAAAAATATAGTTTTATAAATAAATTATTAAAATATAATAAAAACTTATAATAATTAATAAATATTTTAAAATAATTAGAAATATATTTAAAAAAATATTAATTTATTAAAAATATTTTAAAATAATATTAAAAATAGAAAAATTTATTTTATTTTAAAAAATATTCTTTAAAAAAAATACTTTTATATATTAAATAAAATTATAAAATTAAATTTTTTAAAAAAAAATATATTAAAATATTTTTTTATATAATTTTAATTAATTTTAATTTAAAATTTTTAAAAAATAAATTAAATATATATATATATATATATTTAAATTTTTAATTTATTTATTAAAGTTAAAGTTTTATTAAATATTTAACTAAATTAAATTATAAAGTTAATTAAAAAAACTTAAAGTTTTTTAAAATTATATAAAGTTATTTTAATTATAATTATATTAAAAAAATTTTAATTTATATAACTTAAAGTTACTTTATAAAATAGTTAATAATTTAAATTAAAATATTTTATTATAATTATAGTTATTAATTTTTTATTAAATAAAATTATATAAAATAAAAAAAATTTAAATTTATAATTTATTAAAAACTTTTAATAACTATAATAAATTAAATTATTTCTTTTTTTAATTTATTTATAAAATATTTTATTTTATTAATTTTAAAAATAAATAATAAATTATAATTAAATATTAATTATAAATAATTAAATAATATTAATATTAAAAATAAATTATTATTATTTTTAATTATAAAAATAAAATATTATTATTTTTAATTATAGAAATAAAAATAAATTATAAAAAAATAAATAATATATTTTATTAAATTTTATTAAAATTAAAAAAAAATATAAATAAAAATTAATTTTTAATATAAAAGTTAAATTTAATATAAAAATAAAAAGTTTAATATTATAATAGTTAATTTAATAAAAATTTATATTTTAATTTTTAGTTTAAATTTTAAAATAAATTTATAGTTTAATTTAATTAATAATAGTTAATTAAATTAAACATTAAAAATTTAAATTATATTATTAATAGAAATATAAAAAATATAATTATTTATTAACGTTTAAAATTAAATTTAATATATATAAAAAAACTTAAATAATAAAATTTAAATATAATATAAAAACTTTAAATTATAATTTAATAATTTAATTAAAGTAAAAAAAGTAATTATTTATTAAATAATAAAAATAATACTTATTTTTAAAAATAAATTATTTTTTTTTTAAAAAAACTTATTAAAATAATATAATATAAAAATGAAAAATCCTTATAGTAATTAAAAATAATTTAATAATTAACTAAAAATTTAATATATAAATAGCTAAAATAATTAAAAATAATAAAAAAATATTTATAATTATAATAAAAATAATAATTATTATAATAAAAACTTATAATAAAAATATAATTAATATAATAAAAAAAGTATATTAAAGCCTTAGAAATAAATAAAATAAATAAAGAAATTTAAATTATTTATAAAAAAAAAATATAAATTTATTAAGTTAATTAATAATTAATAATTAAAAATTTAATAATAATTATTTTAATTTTAATTTTTTTAAATAGTTTATTTTTTATATTTAGAAAAAATATTTTTAATATATAAACTTTTTTTAAAAAAATTAAATATTAATAAAATATAAATATAAGTAAGTTTATAATTAATTTATATTAAAAATTATATATTTAACTTAAATTTATATATAACTATATAAAATATTATATAAATTTAAATAAAATTAAAAATTTTTTTTTAAAAAAAACTATAATTTATTTAATTTAATATTTATAACTACAGCTGTTTAAAAACTACTTTCTGTCCTCTCTGCTAATATAAATCTATAACTTAGACTTATTACCTTTAGAACCCCTACCCTATACTAAGTATAGAGATTAAAACGTTAGATAACTTACTTTTTTATAAAGCTTAGGTTTATTAAATTAGCAAATTAGTAAGCTAGCCTAATATTAACGTTTTAGTATTAATATATAAATTCACTTTTATTAAATTTTAGAATTACTTTTCCCTAACTTAGCTATTACTAATAGCTAGGATAAAGAGCTTGATAGTTTAATCCCTTACGCCTACTGTGTGATAAAAATAAAATAACGAATATAGACACTATTTCTATTTAAAGATCAAAATAATATACTTCGTATATGTCAATTTGTAAAGCTAAACCTAATTTAAGCCTTAGGCAAAAACGAACGAACGAACGAAATGGGTCATTCCGTTTGAACGTTTCTCCTTTCTACCATCCAGGTTTGACGTTATCAAAAGCCACCTGTACTCCTTCGATCCCTCTGCGGCGTTTGATATTGACCTTGGGGTCTTCGCTCATAGCAGGTAATCCTAGCATGGTCTCCTTTCTCTTCGGTATGTTCCCTTTTCCCAGAGCATCGTCTGATGCGGGAGTAATGTCGAATTCTAGGAGTACTTTCCCCACAAATGCAAGAGTCATAGTAAATCCAAGGTAGCGACCTGGGCATTGGTGCATACCAGGAAGGCCAAAGACGTTTAGATGCTTAATTAACTCTGCATCTACCGATTCACCATTCCGGAGGAATCGGCGGGGCTGAAATTCGTCGGCATGTTCTCCCCATATATTCTTATCAAAGTTATGTAGGTGGATCGGAGTCATGATGATGGATCCCTTTTCAAGCCGATATTTGCCATCAAAGAGACTATCCTTATGCACTCCACGTGCAACCGGAGAATCACCATACACCCGTAGGAGCTCGTACCAAGTTGCCACCAGCAGTGGACAGTTGTTTCGGATTCTGTCAGCATCGATGATGAGGTATGGAGAGGAAGATGTCTCGACCAATCTGTTGAGTTCTTCCATCAGAGCGTCCCGAAGCTCTGGATTAGCTAAAATATGGCACAAGGCCCATGAGATAATATTTATAACGTTTGACATTAGTCCGACAATAGCAACTAAATGACAATCAGAGAAACACTCTGGAGGGATCTCGAGAGAATCGTAGAGTAGAGCGAGTCGCTCAAAAAGCGTCACGTCTTCTCCCCCGTATGCTTCATTGAATGCGGACTGAGCGATCTTCTCACGGACGTATTCCCGAGCTAAACGGAGTTCAGACGGTATAAAGAATGTGATCGGATTGCGTAATGTCTCTAGATTTTGGATGAATAGCCTGTCAAAATAAATGGTAATTTAGAAATAAGATGATGATACGGATTATATGGAGGCGATTGCTGACTTAAGATGCTGGCGGAAGAGTTTGTCTTCGAATGGACCTTGTTCGCCCCAAAATACGGCGCCCATTGAGCGCGAAAGAATATCAAAAGTCCAACTCCCAAGCCCAACATTAATTGATACGTCTTGAGTTGTAAATTTTTGACGCCAATATCCGTCAATCTTTTTTTCTAGCTGAAAAGCATACTTATGAAGATTCTGTAGGCTCCTCAATTCGCCATTGAACAATCGGGATAACCCCCGCTTGAAGTCACCCGTATCAGGATCTGTGAGAAACTTCTCACTGGCAGGGACGAGCCCCATTGCCGGTCCAACTGCAATATGGAATACAGCCATTAGACTTAAATGGCGCATACCAGTGAATTGTTTAACACTTGAGAGGTCTAATGGATGTATCAGGTGCATGTCTTGTCCGGGGAGCTTTAGGGTTGCTATCGGTGAGCGCTGAAGGGCACTGGTACTCATCCATGTAAGACAAGAAGTATAGTCAGTAGGATACTGTTCCACATACCATAGTGACGAAATGTATAAATTAGATCCTTTGGTTGCAATGTTGAAAATGTGACCCAAGAATGGAACCCATGAGGAATGGATAGGAGGGCTCAAAGATGTATCGGTCACATTTTTCCTCATTTTTCGGTGACCGAGTAAAAAATAAAGAAGCAGTGTGATTAGTGCACACAAAATCATTATCTGAGCCAACATCCTCACGTAGTCGTAATGAAGTGACCCATTAACAACTGCTTTGGTGGCACTCTCAGATGTTAAGGAAAGGGACAAACGGAGACATCCAATGTTTTCGACAGCGGAAAATCGTTGGCCCGCACAGCCTCCTTTTGGCTTAGCAACAAGTGAAAAATCAACGCCCTCCTGATGCAACACTATGACGGGGTGATCCTGTAGGATTCTATATCTGTACCTATTCGGCCCTTTGGAGACAAGAAGGATTTGGGGCTTAGACTCAGGGATCTCTGCAAGTGTGCAGGGGCAATGCGTGTAATTGACACTAGCGCTTACATGGGTATGCGTAATGAGAAAGGCTTCGGCGTGCATGGCCACTGAACTACTTTATTTGAATGACATGTGAAAATCGCCCATTGGCTTTAGTCAAGAATTTTCGATATGTTAGGACAATATAAGTTGAAGATAGGGTACTTTCCAAAATCTTCAGTCAGAGGTCTTGTATTACTCACAGTGGCATCCAAATCAGAGAATGGCCTACTAATGCATACATGGACCTTATCTTGTCATCATATGCATTCGAGCTCGACCAACACCTTTTTTTTCTGCTCAACTACATACTCCACATAACAGCGGGAGGGTGTAGTGGATGGTATTGAAAAATAGCCTTTAGGCTAAAGCATTAGGGGAGATACGACATCAAAAGAGAGCAGAGCATTAAATGAGAGAAATACATATTTGTGCATAAGCGATCATATATAGGAATTACTCGATAGTTCACAAAGATGACCTTAATAAAGCTAGCATAGTCCCTACGATATCTGAAGTCTTTTTAAGTCTTAATCTAGGGTACTTATTATTGAGCTTCGAGATTTTGACTTGGATAGTGAGAATTTGCCCTGCCGCTCATAACTAATCTCTTAGACTCCCAAAGCTTGAAAAAAGGTTAGTGCATGGTGCTTTATATGGATTATATCTAAGGATTTTGCGATAACAGGGGGCGTGGGGGTTAGATAGAGGACGCCTAATCTTAGATTATGCATTCTAGGCAGCTGAGGGTGGAATTTCCAAGACCTTACCAATTGGTTCTTATGTAGGTTTAGGAAGATACAAAGGAGCAGGAGGTTGCATTGAAATGCAAGGTGCAAGTGCTGCATGTCAATTGCAGCGTAACTCCTGTCATATCAAATAACCCTACGTAATTAATATATACACCCTAAATCTCACCCCTTCTCACTCCTACGCCCGTAAGTTTCTTAAAAAAGAAGAATTCTCTCATAATCCAAATAGATTAACCGATAGTGGAATTCTAAAAGGAATTGTTGGTAAGACGTAGGATTTGCGCCCCCATTACGGAATCAACAATGTACTCTTGATGTGATGAGGCCTATTTTTTTTCTTGTTGAAGAGGGGAAAACTGGATAGACATAACTTAAGCTGACAACATCAGTATGTTCTCTTGTAAATTCTCTACTTAAGGTCTGCCTTCCCTGATATTTTCGATTCCAGAGAGATTAGGAGCAGTCTTGTGAAGGCACAATGTCGCCAATGTCGCTTTTCTTGGTTGGACTAGCCTTTGCGGCATTTTGGGGCTTTTTCCAGGTCTTATACAACGTCTTTTTCCATCCACTACGGAAATTTCCTGGACCATGGCTCGCTGGGGCTACGTCGGGTTGGAAAGCGTACAAGGAGGTCATTAAGGGCGAGACACTAGCACAAGAGCTCTTTGATCTTCATAGGCGATATGGTAATGTGTAACATCGAAATAATAATTGAGAAGTAACCTCTAACACGAGTAATAGGTGAAATAGTCCGTATTTCCCCAAATGAGGTAAGAAAAATTATTTGTGCCATACATCCTCCACCCCATCTTTTTCCTTGTCAAGATTCTGAGTGGCTGATTTTTATATAAATTGTCTTTGTGTAGCTGCATTTTGGAAACCCAAATGCATTTCACGACATCTATCACAGTAGCAGAAGATGGGATAAAGATCCTGGTCTTTACCGAACACCTGGAGTTAAATCCGGATCCTTTGTGTTTTTGAAGTATGACCAGGCTAAGGAACGAAGAGAGGTCCTCTTACCAATTTTCTCTAAGAAAGCCATTCAAAACCTCGAGCACTTGGTTTGGCGAAATGTGAGTAGTGGCTTTGTTGTTTTATATCTCCGGAAACATGCACGTTTTTTTTTTCTTGCATATTAACCAATATCACATGATAGGCAACACGTTTAGCATCTTCCATCACGAAGGCGAATGTAACACAAAGCTCTATCGACCTTCTCTTTGCATTTCGCTCTTACACTCTCGACACTATCATGTGCTTTACATTTGGTAATTGTGTCAATGCGTTAGAGGCTCCTGAGTTTAGAGATCCTTTGATTCTGGCCATGGATGCTAGCTTGCGAGCTTTACCCGTGCTCAAGAACTTCCCTTTGGTCCGTAACCTGATTTACGCTGTACCTCCTGGCCTGGTCATGCGTATTCTGCCGGATGCCAAGCGACTGGCTCCACGGTTGTATCAAGTTCGTGACTTGATTCAACAGCAGCTGCAGGTCGTGTTACAATGCCCGTCAAAACTGGACAGCGTGTCGCACCAAACCATCTTCCATCGAATGCTTGACCCCCAAGCATACCGCAGAAAGTCGGTTCCGAACATGACTTCCCTGCATGATGAAGGTTTCACTCTCATATTTGCAGGTGCTAATACAGTAGCTGACACATTGCTCATGGGTCACTGGCACACAATGAGAAGACCAGATTTACTCGCGCAGTTGAGGCAAGAGCTTGTTACAGTGTGGCCGAGCCTCGATACTGAGCCGACGCTGAAAGATCTTGAAGCTCTGCCGCTACTTACGGCAACCATCAAGGAATCTCTACGCTTTATTCCATCAGGTGTATCCCTGACGCGTGTTGTGCCTCCCGGTGGCGCGGTAATATCGGGCAAACATATCCCGGGGGGCGCTGCAGTCGGTATGGCAATTCTACACGTGCACCAATCTGCTGAGGTCTGGGGCGACGATGTTCTCGACTTCCGCCCTGAGCGGTGGCTAGAGGACGGAAAGAAAGACCTGGATCACTGGCTGGTGCCATTCAGTCGAGGGCCGCGCATGTGCTTCGGCATAAATCTTGCCTGGGCCGAGCTATACATCGCTTTTGCAACCATGATTCGGCGCTTCGATCTAGCCATCGACGGCACGACACCAGAAGATATGGAATGGCGCGAGTGTATCGCAGCCTACTATCCAAGACGGCACCTGCATGCCTGGTGCCACCCAGCCCAGTCATAAAAGACAATTTAATGACTTATTTATTAAACGGGTTGTTTCGCATTTAGATCCCCCCCTTTTTTGGATTAATATACATAAAGATAACCATAAGCTAGTGCTAGGGTCAGGGTAGTGGAAAGATTAAAAGCATATTATACAAACCAACATAAATGATTGGGTGAAGGCAGGAAGGTTATAGAGTTATCTATGTATTGTGGTGCTTATATAAAATACTAACACACAAAGTATGGAACTCATAAGAATTAGCAGTGCTTTATAGTTTTAAGCAAGGGCTTCAGATTGAAAATATTATTTATATATATTGCTTCTAAGAATATTGCTTTTTATCGGGCAAATTGTGTGCACCAACAGACACTGCGTAACTATGTATTCTGGGCTAATGCTATAAGATATAAAAAGTTTTAGGTAAACGTTAAATGCTTAACGACCTTAGGAAGGACATTGGGATATAATAATAAAATTACTATATTTTAGTAACTAAGTAATTATATATTTTTAAAAAGTAATGATTATATTTAACTTTCTGCTTGAAATACTAATATCCACTTATAACCTAGGGTTATTACTTTAGGAACTTTTACCTTATACTAGGAATAGGGATTATAACATTATAACAAGAGGCACCAAAATTCAATAAAAATTAAGCAATATATAAGCGCTAATGCAAGTTATCTAACAAAAGATACTAATTTTATTTTTTCAGCAATTAGAAAATATCTATAGCCAAATCCAACTTTTCTATTATTATAATATCCGCCGCAGGAATGTAACAATATAGTCACAGCGCTAGACTGGCTCCTTTACAGCAAGCCGTTTACCCAATTGATTGGATAACATGTCTACTCCGATCAAATAACATACTTGAACCTCATTAGCAGAATTTCAATAACTATGCCAAGATAAAACTCACCGGGATAAAGATATACGGGACTTCTTTCTCGTATCGCTTCCAGGCTTCGCCATATTTTCTCCGGCATCTAATAATATCTCTCCTTGTTCGATGAATGATCATGACCATGAAGAAAACGAAATAAAACCATGGAAAGGGGCTCCTACCAGCAGACAGTCAGCCACCAATACAACTCTACACAATCCTGCATACTCTAGAAGAACTTACTCGAAGCCGGTAATCAACCCCCAGGACATAGAGAAGAACATATCAGGGACATAATTTGGCTTTCGGATAATTGCAAACCATCCGTCGACCAGTATATGATCACCTGTATCGGTTTCTATAGTCTTGGGATTCTCAATCGATTGCCATGGAACTTGAGGAAAGGTGTTGCGCTTGATGAGTTGACCTTTTTCCTTGTGGCGGAATGCGTTCTTTTGGCCATTGGCACTATCCCACATCCAGTACATGAAAAGATATACAACTGCAAGCAATGTGAAAGAGAAATAATTCCAGTGGTATTCGGATGGGTTGTGATTGGCCAAGTAAAGAGCACAATGACAATAAGTAAAGGGAACACCGGCCATGTTCCAAAAGGTAAGCAAAAAGCCCAGCTTCTCGAAATACATATCCCTAGGCCAACGTTAATTAAATGTAACTTAGGGCGCCCTGTCCCCATTTAGCTTACCAGCTCGTAATAATCATTTGCTCAGCTTTGGCGCAAGCGTTGGTGTATAGGAAATGAGCCCCAACTAGGAAGAGTACCTCTTTTGAGACGTAGCCGTAGGTTTCAAACTGGCGAGCAGCTACGGAGCAAGTAATGAGGAATAGGATGAACCACGGAATTCTCACTTCATAGAACATTTTGAAGTCCAAAATGCCGATACGAGGATTCAGTTCAGCACCCATGAAAAAGTCGTATATGGGATAGCCTGTAAGCCGATGCGTTCGTCCACGTACGATAGCTTGGAAGTAGACGATGAAGCTGTTGAGAAATCCAGACAGGATTGCAACGGTCATAAGAGGTCCAAACTCGTCAATTAGCGTATACAATGGGAATACGCGTGTGGTGTGCAGCACGGCGGCAATGATTAATGTTGCATAAAAGCTGCAATATGCGGAACAGTAATAAGGAAGCTTTTTGCCGCCTTCGTGTCTCAATGGACGACCGTAATTCGATACTCCGGGCATATAGCAGTACATAAGTGCCTCCACAATGAAAAATATCCAATAGATTGCCCAAGCTTTCGCAGTTGGATAGGCCCCCTCGGAAACCAACAGAAAGAGGTGCTGACCAAAGTCAGTCCAAGTCTGGTTGACCTCGGGCATTGGCAAGTGCCCATCATAGTACGTTGCACCTATCCACATGTACCACATCAGTAGGGGGAAGCCCGTCATTAACAACGCTGCACCAATCGAGCCACCAAATTCGAATTCGTTTGACGCGCCATCTGTAAACTTGGTTGTGTTATTTGATGCGTTCTCGTGATGCTTCTCACTGGACAAGATAGCGGCATCAGAAGGAGGACATCTCTGTTTTGCAGCCATGGTGGCGGCGGATAAAGAGGTCAATGGGGTCTGCGGAAGACGCCAAGCTGTGCGTTGGGAGAGTTCACGGAAGCGGATTTAATGAAAAAGACACGCGCGTGCCCTCTTATAGTTTTGCGAACGGCCTGCCTTTTCATATCCAACAGCAGTACATCAGGTGACTGCACGTGCATCCGGCTCGTGAACCCTGGGGCAAAGAGACATTTAATTGGGATGTGGCACCCCGTCGACTCGGAGACTACAGGTAGTGAGTGGCACAGATGCACAGCCAAGCTTCCTTCGGCCAGGAGTGCATGCAATACCTACCTAGGTACTCCGTAGTCGTCTGTAGCCTCGTTTATTTAAGATTACCTTCTCGTTGACTTGCAGCGGCATCGCAATCAGCAGTATCAGGTTAGTGTGACTATGCAAATAAATTGCACCACAGGTAAGATGTGGCTTGCTCGCGTCCTTTATTTTACGCATCACACTCCCACGTATATTTGGGGCCGGCTAATATCTACTGTTGGCCCTTTGCAACCGAAAGGAAGCAAACATAACACTAAGGTACCCACCCACACAGACATGTAAGCATAGGTGGGTAGCCTGAGCCAACAACATGAGGGGTTTTTTTTAATCCCTAAATAGATGATAGTACAAGTACTCCACAGTTAAGACAAGGCCACGTCCACCAACACTAGCAATGGCATCACTAACCTGAGCCGACGCGGTCTGGCAAGGTAGACAACTACAACCACTTTTACTTCGTCAAAATATAAGACGACAGTAATTAACAGCTGCCTCACTTCATATACGGGAATCCCTAGGTCAGGACATATCAAAGTCCCTGTAGGAGCCACCACCTGAACCACCGCCACCAGAGATACTGCTTGGAATGGGGATGGGAATAATTCCAGGGAGAGGCCCATTATTGCGACTATAAGAGTTAGATTGTGATATTGAGTCTATAATTACTTTAACTCAAATAGTCTATATACCTTGCTCCAGACATCAACACCTTCGTCCTTGCCCAGGTCTGAACCTGGAAGAGCTTTTATCTCTGACTCGTCGGCGTGGATAATGTTACGATCCTTATCAATGTCGATGATGGCTGATGGCAGGCCTCGAGCTGGCACAGAAACATTGCCGAGCTTCTTCTCGAGATCTATGATTTATACGTCTAGCTGCTTAAAGCGAGAGCTGATAAATTTCGACATGTTCTCTGCTCCATCCTTTTCCAACTCTGCCTTGGTGTTTTGCGATTGAATGGCCTGCAGCTTGCCCTATCGAAGCAGCCATTCATCTTTCCTGGTTTCCAGGTTATTCAAGGCGCCTATCAGCAACTAGTTATTGCCCATGTCTTTCACATCTTTTCGAGCGTCGGAAGCTGCCTTCTCAAGCTTGTAGAGATTCTCAGTTGCTTTTCTAAGCTCTTCAGCGGCGTTGCTCTCTTCTTTTTTTGTATTCATTCTTCTTGGTGGTTAAATCTCCTCTTGGTTGATCCATCTTATTCTTCACAGCCTCTGTGTCTGTTTTTAGTTATTCACCGACCTTTCCAATTTCTTCCGATTTCTTCGCGATCTCTCCCATACCCCCTCCTACCACCCCTTCCAATATGGCCAACCTAATAGCCTTTTTGGTAGTTATTTCTCCGTCGATCTCCGCTTTGCGCGTATCGTTCGCTTTTTCTTTTTCTAACCCAAGATTTCTAATTTTATCTTTGGGTGTACTTTGCTCCAATTTTGGCTTTTCTGAGTCGCTTTGTAGTTGCGCCTTCAAGGATCCGATTTTATCATATGCAGTGGATTTTTCTAGGTACTTCTTCTTTGCGCCTTCGAAGATCCTTTGCAACTTGGCAAGCCCGTCATCGTCGCGTTCCCGGAACGACTGCGATTCTCTTCAGCATTCAATCTTTAGCGGGAAAAAAAAAGAATCCTTTTCATTTACTTACGCTGTCATGGGCGGCAAAGGCCTCCTTCATTCGTTTGAGATTGTCCAATTTCCATGCGCAAGACGTCTGGGACAATCGGGTTGCGATTACGAAAGTCAAGTGCCTTTGCCCTGCAGAGGTACGCCCTTGATATATATAATCAGCATAGTTGACCAAGTTGACCAAGTTATTCATGTCGCACTTACTAGTTTCTCGGTTCAAGTGTGACTGCGGCCCATTCGGTGCCGTCGAATGCGTAAATCATAGAATCTCGAGTGGCTTCCTACACTGCTGTCAGCTTATAGTTCCCTCTAAGACTGGGGCCCTTACGGCTCAGACCTTTGCTTTCTCAATTCTAGCCATGATGAAGTAGCGATCAACAAGCGCTAGTATTATGTTCAGCAGCTGCCTCCAGCGTCTGGAGAGTTGTCGTACCAAGAGCGTAATTCGACTCGGAATTTGTCTCCATTTACGACCCAGTCCATCCACTTTGCGTGGGTTTCGGATTGAGCCTAACTAGCATTAGTATTTTCTTTTTGGCTCCAGCTTTGTAAATAAATTGCGTATGTACTCTTTTAGTTTTTCTTTGCCTTTCGCTGAACTGTGCAGAACTTTGATGTTCCGGGCGGTTCATTTTAGCATCTTGTAGTGGTGGTTAGCAAGGCCTTCCTGCGAGACTTGGGAGATATGTCATCAATACCAATCGCATCATTTCTCGCTTCACCTAACCTGCCACGTGCTTCGGCCCAGGCCATCTGCTTTTCAACATATCTTTCAATTAGTTTCGTCTCGCCCAAACTGCTCGGCCTTCTTCTTTGCTTCTTTGACGCGGTCAGAAGAAAGTGGCTTCTTGGATGGCGGCAGCGTGGTACGGAGAAAAGTCATTTGCCTGTCCGTATCTCGTGGTGATGTCCACACCTAAGAAGCATCAGCATATGATTATCTTTTCCTAGAAATACCTGTTACATACTGTTGAGGTTGACCTCTGTTGATCTAATGTCCGTCTTTCGAGGAACCGGAGTGTCGAGGGCGGTATAGTAGCTGCGGGCGACACCTTTTCTTCTAGGACCAAGCTGAGAGGACCGAAATTAGGATTTTCAGAAACTAACTATGTTCGCTGAACGACTAACCATGATTTTATCTAGAGGAACCATCGAATCGACCAATCTGGACTCATTGGTGTGTACTTCTTCATGACGATCCACGGTCATCTTAGTTGGATTTTCTGAGACAAAGCTGTTGTGACCGTCAGCCGATGTGTTTCGTCCATTGTGTAGGATATAGGGCTAATACCTTCCTCCTATAGTAGTGTCGATTACCTAGCCTAGAATAGAGATGGTGAGAAACTGTTCAAAGGCACATGGCATAGACTTGATGATGGCTTCTCTCAGCTTCGTGCTGATGTTGTCCATCACCTTGACAGCATCTTCTCGTGTAATGTTAGGCATCTTGAGTATTTCCTGTAATGGAAGAAGCCTTCTCTTTCTGAAGAAGCAAATGGCGAACTGAATGATAATTCTTGTCTCTGTTTCCCTAAGAGTGGGTCATATCGAAGCCCCCATCTAAATTGAATCCAGCGCCAAGAGGCCTCTTTGTTCTTGGATATAATGAATGAACTGTCCCAAGTAACGTAACCCAAATTTCTGAAGCAACCTGAAATACGGGTAAATTTGAAGCTTGTTCCAGACCGCCATCCATGACCCTCTCTTGGGCTTGTGACATCCCGTGGCTTGCTGAACCTCTTGTGGTGTGCGGATACCCGAATCCGTCGATACTGCAAGCCAAGACACATGTAGGTAAAATCCATGTATTCCTGAAGTAGAATCTCGCCTCATACAAACAATCAAAAGTAGCCCGTTCTTCCGTAGATCTCATCTTTGGACGACTTACCGCGAGGTGATGGCCCACGTCTTTGCTTATCATTGATGTGCTATATTCCATTAAGCGCCGGTAGCTTAGGTTCAAGTCAACCAATTAGCTTCCGAATCATTCAGCTCATCTCCATTTTAGAGTCTCGTGGTCTTTTGTTCAAGGTATAACCTGTGGGTAAGGATAAATCGTACTCAATAATTCCCCACTACTGGATTATGCCAATCAGCGATTTCCGTCCAGGAATGTTATCGTCAAGATTTCTGTCGTTGAGGGCTGGATTGACCAATGTCATTACATGAACATAGCCGCTGTGTCCGCGTAGCAGTACAATTTTCATATTAATATTTAGAAATAAGCTGGATGTCTAAATGCATTGAACTATATTACGAGTGTATGGAGCACACGGGATACATTCAAAATGCTCCAAGCGAGATCATCCCCTAAGAAGTCGTTTACAAAGTCCCTAATCTGATTATAGCGCCTCTGAAGTCTTGAGAGAGGTGCGACGTAGTTGTGGCTGGGCAATTATTGAACTAAGCAAGGCTGAATCCAATTACTCACCGTAATTGAGCTGACAGCTGAGATTCAGTATTAGCAATATTTCCCATTAGAGATGTGACTATAACGCCACTGCTCGTTCCTGGCAAAGCCAGGCCCTCTCCAGACTGGACGAAGTGCGGATAATGGCTTATTAGTGGTTCGAGAACAGTGACGAGGAGTGCCGCAATGCCCGTTTAAGCGCTTGGTAGGTCTGTCGGGGGTAGGCAGCGGTATATGCTGGGGAGCATCAGGGACACTTCAAGGCACGTAACATGAATTTTTGAATGATAGCTTCATTGGCGTCTCCTGGAAGCGAGTCGTCCTTTTTCGCGTCTTGCGCGACTTGTGTTTGTTTGCTTCACCACGGTACTCCAATACCTTGACATGTGTCTGAGGGCGTCGGAATTTTATAATTCGTAAAGGGTATTAGGTAGTATTTACCTTGGCAAGTCTTTTTTATCCATGACAAAAATAAATATATCCCTGGCAATAAAACTCCATATAGTGGCTTTAGTAAAATAAATGAATGAAAAGTAATCTGATGAGAGAAGAAAATGGAAGACAAGCAATATCGACTAAGCGCTTTAATGAATTATAAAATAGTTTCTTGGACGACAGAGCGTATAAGCGGTGTTAAATACTAATGAGATGGGTTATTCCCACGAGCATCCGAACAATACGCCTGTGCGATCGTCTCGGCACAAATATAGCCTGTATATCCTTTCAACCTTGGCCTTTTATAGCCAATATCCAACTGTTCACTGTTGTTCACAGCTGGTGGTACGGCGTATCCGAACATTGCCCGGCAACGGAAGCACCGCGACTTGACGTCGAATGAGGGACAAGAAAAGGGCGCGGGTGTTTCTTGCTGGTGATTTGCAGTTTGCCCTGGCACGGCGTTCCATTGGGCCAATAGGTTCTGACGAGCGGTAACGCGCTGTGGCCGGAAAGGAAGATACGGAGTATTGTTAAAATTGGCCATCAGATTGTTGGAGAGCGTGGGCATATTTAGTAAGCCATTGCCTTGAACAGGAGCTTGGCCTGGGCGCCATGTGTGCCGCACGACTCTTGCCCACTCACTCATCACCCTATATGGATACCAAATGTCTTGAGAAGTCGTTACAACGATTACTGGGTTATTGTTCTGTTGCCCTGCGCATACGAACACGGTGGCGGGAATTCCTTTGCGTGCTTGAATATGCATCGGAAAGTTGTTGGGAGGAGCCGGGATCTGTCGTATTTCCATTTCCAAAGACCAAAGTCTGGAAGTTATCTTAGGCGGAGATGAGATTTTATGTTTGTTTGTTTATTTATTTATTTTATTATTAACGTCCACTAAGTAAAGTAGTTATATAAGTCTTTATTTAAACATTAAGGTAGTAAAAGCTGCAGTTATTTAAACTTTATATTTATTATATTTTAATTTAATAAAAAAAATAAAAAGAAATATTAATTTATATTTATAAAAAAGGGACTATATAAATTTATTTTTTTTATTAATTTTTAAAACTTTTTATAGTTTTTATAATTTAAAAAATATATAAAATATATAGCTTTAAATTAAAAGGTTTTTTTAAAATATTTAAAAAAAAATATAATTATTTAATATTTTATAAAATATTTTTAAATCTTAAGTTTATTATATTTATAAATAGGTTTTATATTAAAATTAAATTTTTTATAATATTTTATAAAATTATTATATTTAAATTTTTTAATTAAAAATTTATAAAAAATAAAATATAAAAATAAAATTTAAATAATATTATAAAAATATTAAATTATTAATATTTATAATATAATAAAAAATTATTATTTTAATAAATTTTTAATATTAATTTTTATTTTTATTTTTTATTTATTTTTTAATATAAATAATTATAATATAATTATTTATATATTTTAAAAATTTTAAAAAATTTTTAATTAATTTATTTATTTTTTTATTATTTAATATATTTTTATAATTAAAAATTTATATTATTTAAATAATAATATATAATTATAATTTTTTAATTTTTTTTTTAAATTTATATATATATTTTATAATAATATTAATACAGTTTTTAAAATTTTATTTACTATTATAAAATTATTTAAAAAAAATATTTTTTTAATATTTAAATTTAATATAATATATATTTTAATAAATTTTATAATTTTAAAAACTTTAATTATTTTTATATTATAAATTTTAATATTTATTAAATAATTATAAAATAAAATAAATTTATTATTATAATATATAATAATATTTTACTTTATATTTTTTATTTTATTTTATAATTTATTTAAATATATTAAAAATATAATTTAAAAAAAATTATTAAATAACGTAAAATATTTTTTTATTACTTTAATTTTAAATAAATTATAAAAGTTTAATTTTATTAAAATTATTTTATTATTTTTAATAAAAAAAAAAGTTTAATTATTTTATTAATTAAAAAAGTTATTTATTATAATTTAATTATAAAGATTTTAAATAAAAGTTTTTTATTAATATATTTATTAATAAAATAATTTATATTTAAATTAATAAACTTTATTAATATTTAAAGTTTTACTTAAGTAAATATTTTAAATATAAATAAAATTTTAGATTTTTTATATATAATTATTAAATTAATTATTTTTTAAATTAAAAAAATTATTTTAATTATTATTTTAAAAATTTTATTTATTTTTTTTATTAAATTAAAAATATTAATAATTATTTATTTAAAAAAGCTAAAAAAATTTTATTTTTTATTATTAAGTTATTAAACTTTTATATTATATAAAACTATTAAAATAATATAAATTTTAATTATAAATATTATTATATTTAAAAAAAAAACTTTTTTATATTTTATTAAAAAACTTAAAAAAATTTATTATTTTTAAAATTTTTTTAATTATTATTTTTATATATTTTTTAAAAAGAAATCTAAAGTTAAAATAAACTTTTAACTATTTAATTAAATTTTATAATATAATAATTTTTCTCTTAAAGTTTATATTTTTTTTTATATATTTACTTTTTAATATA